AAATAGGTTATTTAGGTTTACCGATTCTTAATTTGTAGGAATTATTAAACTAAATAGGGTAATTAGAATTATATGAACGATATTAGCTAATTTAACTTTTAAGTTTTGGATTCCCATTTTTAATATAGTACAAATAGATAGATATATTAAATGTTACGGGCATCATTACTGAATTTATACATTAGTAGATTATTCACTCCTAATGCTTTCATGTATATTCTCAACGTCTAAATTTCATTATTGGTCAATTGGTCTTTTGTTTAATTAAAAAAAAGTTAGGAAATTTTATTTCCTATAGTAAAGGTATATATCCTATTTATTATAAATCAAAAATATTTTGAAATATTATTTTCTATTACTACCTTTTATATTTTGTCACGACCCAACTCCATGTCAGGCCGTAATGGAGTCCAGTACCGTTGCTAGACAAGCCAACAGTGAACAACTTAGTGATTTCCCATTTTTATTAAGCAATCCCAACATCTAACTTTACTTAAATTTAAAACATTGAAATAACGGATTTTTTAACGCAAACAAAACGGAAACAACTAAAAGAAATCATAACTATAAAAATACAACCCAAAAATCAAAGTCTACTAATATATACCAAGATCTAGTGTCATAGGTGTGTGGGCAACTAGCAGAATATATAAAAGATGACTATCCTACTGTCTGAAATAGAATAGACAGGTACAAGCAAAAGAGAAACTCTGGCATGTTGTTGAACGGCTCGGAAGGGGGCAGCTCACCGTGAAGTCTCAGTCCAAGATCAAGTATGGGCGCCGGGCGGGTAACTAGATGCACCAGCCTCAGATCTTGTACAATTAAGTATAGAAGCATAGTATGAGTACATAAACAATATGTACCCAGTCTAACTTCGAAGAAGTAGTGACGAGGGGTCGACTTGACACTTACTAGGGCCAACAATAATATAATTAAAGTGTTATGCTAAGCATAGATATCATGAATAATACTGAATGTTCAATAGCAGGAAGTGATAAGTTCTTCTTTCATAAAAATAATTTCAATTTCAGTCATATCATTTAACAACTTACATTTCAAAGCATTTAAGCAGTATAAATCACGGAGAGTTCCAAATAATTAACATGCACAATTATGCCGAGGTCGTACGGCCCGGTCCAACATAGTATTAAAATGTGCACTGTCGGAGGGTCGAACGGCGCGAACCATAGATGCTTCTATTTATCACCGAGGCGCTCAGCCCGATCCACAAATAATAATTATTTTCAAGAAAGCATAAATTTCTCATTTATAGTCAAGTATTTCATACAAATCCTCAAGTAAGTGGGTATAACCTTCTATAATTATTTTATCAATTTCCAGGATGACTTAAGTGATTATAATAGCAAGTAAGGATGCAAGTATTTCAAATATAGCATGATACGGGTCCTAAAGTACCCGGACAATAACATAATAATAGCTATGTATGTACTCTCGTCACCTCGCACGTACGTAGCCCCCCCAGATAGATACAAATATTTATTTAATTCACATATGGGGTTGATTCCCTCTTACAAGGTTAGAAATGAGACTTACCTCGTCTTAAAGCCTACTTCCCAATTCAAGAACGCGCTCAAACCTCCAAATTTGACGCCAAACTACTCGAAGCTAGTCAAATATTATGTAAACTAATCAATCTATGCTCAAAAGTTCATAATTCCACCATTTAAGTGATTACCCAACTTAAATTGCAAGATTCCTAAAGTTCACCCTCGGGCCCACATGCTCGGATTTCGGAAACTTTTAAAGAGAGTTGTTACCCCTAAACTTAGGAACATAAATATATGATTTCTACTAAATTCCATAACAAATTTCGTTGTTAAATCTCATTTTTATCAAAAACCTAGATTTTCACCTAAACCCATGATTTTCACTAATTTACATGTTATAATCTACCCATAAACTATGTATTTAACTCACATTGTGTAGAAATTACTTACCTCAAAGTGATAAGTAAAATTCCCTCTCTAAGAGCTCCAAGAATCACCCAACAATGGAAGAAATGAGCTAAAATAGCCTTAGTCCCTTTTTTTAAAAGTTCTTTGCCCAGGTCTGCCTTCTTCGTGATCACGGAAGAGGCCTCGCGATCGTGAAGGCAAACGGTCCAGGCCCAGGGAAATTTATACATCGCCTCGCTTAGCCTACCATACGCGAACGCGAGGGCTTCTTCGTGAACGCGAAGAATAAACAGCGGCCTCCCAGCTCAGCCTCTTCTACGCGAACGCGAGCTAGGTCACACAAACACTATGGCTAGAGGACCCAAACCTCCGCAAACGCGATCCTGAGCACACGAACGCGTAGGACAAAAGCTCCCATGCCCACAGTACCACAAATCCTTCATCGCGAACGCAAGGGTCTGACCGCGTTCGCGGAGAAGGAAACAAGAAGCAGAAATCTGGTGTGTTTCAACACAATTCGGGGTGGTCCGAAACGCACCCGAGCCCCTCGGGACCCCGTCCAACTACTCCAACAAGTCTATAAACATAATACGGACCTACTCAAACTCTCGAAATGCGTAAAACAAAAACAAAATCAAGAATCAGACCCCAAAATCAAATTGAATCAAACTTTAAACTTCAAGTTTCTTAATCGCTCTGAACGCGTCGAATCATACTTGGACTACTCGGATTGACACCAAATTTTGCGTGCAAGTCTTAAATGAAATTACATAACTATTCCGGTCTCAGAATTCCATTTGGACCTCGATATCACTAAAACCTACTTCAAACCAAATTTAAAGAACTTCAAAAACCTTCAAGAACCAACTTTCACTATTAGGCGCCGAAACGCTCTCGAGTCACCCAAAACCCGATCCGAACATACGCCCCAGTCCGAAATTATCATATGAACCTACTGGAACCGTCAAACCCCGATTCCGAGGTCGTTTAAGCCAATCTTAAGGAACCAAGTGTTCCGATGTCAACCCAAACTCTTCCAAATCACGAACCAACCATCCCCGCAAGTCATAAATCAACAAAAGCAAGTATATGAAGTCTTTTTTAGGGGAACGGAGTTCTAAAAAGCAAAACAACATGTCGGGTCGATTTAATTTTATAGCAAAATAAGTATTTATGGTATATACTACCATTGAGGTATGAAATAAGGCATGAAATTATGTTTTTCCTCTCTTGGACAGCTGAACATACCTATTTTTAAGGTGATTATCGTTACTGTATCTATGAATATAGCAGCGCGAATACATGTGAATACATGCGCGTAATGCTAGACTACCCTGATTTTAGGAGCTTTTTGCAGTTGTATTCATGAATACATGGCGTGAATACATGTGAATACATGCGCGTACAGCTAGACTGCCATGATTTAGGCTCTTTTTGATGTTGTATTCATGAATTCAGGAATACAGCAAATACACTACCGTAACAACTGAATAGTAGCTATAGGAAGTAATATATATATATATATATATATATATATATATATATATATATATATATATATATATGGTAGCTATACGAAGTTAATAGCCACTAAACAATAGTGGTTTTTGAAAATTTCTCTAAAAAGTTTCATACTTGGACTCTCCTCAGATTTATATGCTTTCTTTTGTTAACATGATATCCGAGCCAATTTTTGTTTACCTTAATTATTTTGTCGGAAAAAATAAAAAATAGCCAGATTTACAACTGGTAATTTAAGAATAGCCACGATTTTAAAAGTAGTCGAAATTTAGTCACTTTTCATGTAAAGATAAAATTTGAACAAAAACACCCTAAAAATATGGAAATATTCCAACATAATATGCTGGAGTTCGAATTTTTCACATATGAGCTTCCAGCTTAATGTGCTGGAATTTCATAATGTGCTGGAGTCCCAACATAATATGCGGGAAGTTTATATGCAGGAACTCATAATCACGCATATCATGTTGAAACTTTCTGTGTTCTGGGATTCCAACATAATATGCTGGAAGTTTATACGTAAGAGCTCCATCATTTGATATGTGCAAGGAAATTTGGAATTGTGAGCATTCCAACGATTGGATGCTGTCCGGCTATTCGTAGTGTAACACCTGGTGGAGCCTGTAATGAGACACTTAATGATTTTGCTCAATCATTTTATAATACAACACTCAGCTTGCTGCAAAATTTCAGCTCAAAAAATCCAGGAGTGAAATTTTCACTTGGAAATTCTTACTTGATGACCAAGGGTGTCATTGATAATGCAGTTGCATCAGGTAATTATTGATATAACTATTTCAGATTAAATCAAGGAATAAGTGGGTGCAAACTTGTGAAAATACCCTAATTTGGGAAACGGAGTTGGTTCATCCCCGTTTGGACTTGAATCAATCGGTTGATGTTTGAACATGAAGATATTTGGAAAACAGATGTTAAAAGTGTTTTAAGTTTTATAAATAAGAGTTAAAAAAGTTTTCACTCGCAAAAATTCAACTGTATTTTATTGTCATCAATATCAAAAAACGGATACTCGAGATAAGAATATCCTATTAATCCTTGAAAATTAGAGATAAGAATATTATTATCTTCATTTTAAATGTCATTTTAGCCGCACAACTTCGGTCCAAAACAAGTGTTACTTTAGAAAATTAAGAAGGCATAATTATTGTTTCAAGGAAACAGTAAATGCACTGCAAAATCTGATGTTTGCGAGAAGCACGACAAATTCAACTCAAAAATTAAAATTCAAAATGCACTGGCTAATTTCTAAATAGCAACCATTTAAAGTGACTATCATGTATACGAAGAATTTTATAATATGAGTCAATGTCCCTGAGGTTTTATCTTACAAATATCCCAAATAAGTTTTGGAAACGCATTATAAAAAGAAAAAAAAAGTTGCGTATACTGGTCTCCCTTTGCTATTATCATACTCATAACATTTTTGAAATTGCAACCATACAAACTCAAGATTTTACCTTTAAAACCATATAACACCAAGGGCGTTGCACTATGCGGTCTGGGAAAGGGCCACATCACAAAGGTCTGTTTTACGTAGCTTTACCCTGCATTTCTGCAAGAGGTTGTTTCCACGGCTTGAACCGTGACCTCCATGACAACAGCTTTACCAGCTGCGCCGAGGCTCCCTTCTAAAACCAGAACACCAACTATGGAAAACATGGTCCTTCAATTACTGGATGAGTTCTTGTGACCATAGCAATAGGCATTTTACTTCTTTTTCCAAAAACTCACCTTCTTCTGCTTCTCTTTCCATTTCACATGTTTTCTTGGCTTTAAAAATTCCCAACACCATCTTTCCTACTGCAGCTACCAACGACAACCCGAGTAGTCCGATAACAAATCCAATAACTAAAAAAAAACCCATAATCTCCTCTTCTTCTTCATCTCTAAAGGTAACACTATAGAGAAACGACCATGATTTCTTGTATAACATAAGTTAGGAAATCTCATTTCACTAAAAGAAACTTTACCATTTTCATCAAACATAACACACTTAGTTCTTTCCTTCATCTCTGTTAGATTCTTGAACTCGATCGATATAGGTTGTTCCATTGGTTTAAGATCAATCTTTGTAAGATTTGTAATACTACTAATATGTGATGGTGCATCATAAACCATGAAACCAATAACAGAAGTTAGGAGATTGTAACCTGATATGTTGAAGTAATGAGAAGATAAATTTCCCAAGTCATTATAAACAATGTGGATTCTTTTAACATAAGGTACTGGAATTGTTTTTGGAGGAATAGAAAAACCACTAAAGTTTGCACCTTTTTTCCACAATGTTCTGCTTCTTAATCGAACGAGTGAGAGTTTCATTCCTGCTAGATTTGAAGGAAGATTTGCATTGTATAAAGCTCTAGTAAGGTTGTTATTAGAACATTGAACAAGAAGAAAGAGTTTCAAGAATAGGAATAACAGAACTATGTACAAGTTGTGAATAAAATTTGATGGCCATTGTCTGTTCTTGGATTTCATTGATTTGGGTAAGTATTTGGTTTGCTTTACTTTCCAACTGTATGAAGGATTTTGAGCTTGAAATATGGCTGAAACTGAGGAAGAAAGTAGAGTTGGAGGTGCAAAGTCTTTTTCTTTTTGGACTAAAGAGTAGGGTTATACACTCAAAGTCATGCTTAAGTTGGTCCCATTACATTAATAATAGGGTTTCCACCTTAGGGTGAAACAATGATGCCTTTGTCTGTTGATAAAGAGAGACCATTATTCTTCCATGAAATGTGGGACTTATCACATGGTTGGGGGTTCACATATCACAGTCAGGTGCGAATAGATTACCCTTATTTGTAAACTACGTAGAGGTTGTAAGTACACAGAGCCGCCATTTATGATATGAAACCTGAACATGAGCCAATTAAGAGATCAAAAAAGTTTATTAGGGCCAGCAATAATCAAACTTCAACTCCTTCACTGGGAGTAGTAAAGAAAGAGCTATTACATCAAGAATAAAGAAACTATAATCAATATAATTAAACAAAATGGTCATACATGGTATCTCATAAAACGTTTTACATCTACTTTGTCTACCAGTTGAATTTTAACCATGACGGGATGAAACAAAGAAAAAATATGAGAACTTTAAAGGAAATGAAATAAAATAAGGAGAAAGATTGTTTGGTTTAACCAAGAAAAATTGTTCTTATTGTAAAATCTCATTCCCTAGCTTTTAGTCTGAATATCATCAAACCGTTAGCCGACTGCTGCTAAAAAAATTTAGGATAATCAAACTGAGTCCTCTTGAGAAACTAGTAATAATTAATTTATTACATTTTCGCGTAGTAAACAAGTTATCTAGCAGTGAATTTTCATATAATCTTCAATCTTTAGCTTACATAGTGGTTACATAGTTAACCAAATATGAGACTCTCATCCTGTAAAACTGGGATCAAATGTTACAAAACTCACCTAAAATAAAAAAGGAACTTCTGGCAAAGCTAAAATGAGTTCAACCTTTAGGCTATATAGAATCCAAAGAACGTGCTAAAAGAGGATAAAGTAAGAACTTGAACAAGTGCCCAGTAATTCAATACGCCTGAGCCAACAGAAATCTCATACTTAATGCCAGTCGTGCGAGAATCTACCCTTTGATGGAGAGGAAATCACCACAGATACTCGAATGTTAGAGTAAGGGATTATCCCAACAAATAGATGAGCTCAAAGGGAGAGTTACGCAGGAACTATTCATGCTCCTGGTATGCCAAATTTGTACTAGACTATTACATATTTCAAGAGGCTGTCGGCTACAATATCTTTCAAGAGGCTGTCGGCTACATAACATACAAAACCACCTCAGCTATGTGATATCTACATCATCTGCAGGTGAAGATCAGCATCCTGCTGCGCAAGCTCCACCATCATAGCCTCATCAAAGAATTTGTTGATGCTCACATCTTCACTCATTCCCTAAAAGAAAAGGGATAGATCCATCATTTAAGACAATACTCTTGGGATAGATCCATCATTTAAGACAATACCACATTCCCCTTATATTTCTGTTTTAAAAAAACCGAAAAAGATGAGAGTTGAAGCCTTAAATGGGAAACAAGGGATATGTGGAAGGGGGCTTGCACCAAGATCATAATAGAAGAGGGGGAACAAGGGACATCTGGAAGGGGGCAAGCACCACTTCAAATCAAGTGCTGTTCAAGAAACCTGAAGAGTAAATAATCTCAAATTAACCCTACTAGAATATATACCTTTCTACGCCTTGTCTTCACCATGAACTCACGAGCCAGATGCTGAATTGGGGCAGGCTCTAGTGGTCGTAAAACGATGCTCTTGTCAAGAGGATCTCCAGGAACAATAGCCCAATGATCAAAAACTGAAAGACAAAACGCCTGCCCTTGGGTGTGATACCTCAAGTCGGTTTCGAAACCAAAGGACTCGATAACAGGTAAAAATGCCTGGAGAAGGAACAAGTGTGCATATGAGAAAACTGATGTTATAACATGAAAAGATTATATAAAAAATCCAGGGTGCTATCTATATTTCGAATTCAAACCTTGACGATGTAGGCAGGGGTCCCAGGTTGAGGAACATCAGCAGTAACATGTCCACGCCTGCGAGACAACACGGTGTATGTAGCAGAGAGGCAATCCATGGGTGTTTGGATCTGAATCAAGACACCAGAAAGTTAGCCCCAGTTTCACATAGAAACATCTAAAATCTATCTTTTGTTCAAATTTCATCCCTTTTACTGTAAA